GGCAGGATCACCTCCTTTGACCTGCTGGTCATGCTTCTTTTGATACAGCCTTGATGTTAAAGCGTTGGCCCTCATCAGTGCAAGAATAAGTTGGTGTTTAGAGAATGTCTATATTTTCTTAATCAGCATTTGCTGTAGTTTAAAATTCTTACTTGATGAGAGCAGTCAGGTTATTAATTCTCAGTTATGTCTATGTTTTAATGTTACTGAGGACCTAAAGGACAGGCTGTTGAGCCATTTCAGTCCCTGTGCTCTGAAATTGGGCAGAATTGTTTTCTTTGTATATCAGACAACTCCAGAAGCAGCTTCTCTACCTAAAGCACCATGCAGCTTTTGAAACAGTTTATTCAAAAATGAGTGAATGGAGTTAGAAAACTTCCTTTGTTATCTAGGAATGTCTTCACTTTCATCCCAGTTTGTATAGAAATGTGGGTTTGGACTATATGTAATGTTAATTCCTTGCTTTTGAAGCTAAGATGTGGGCTCTGTGATGTATCTCCTGAGAACTGGTGTCGAAGGAGGCGGATGGTTACTTTCACATTTACTTTCTTTGGGTAAATGGAGCTTTGTGTGTATCCCTGTATGTGTGCCCAGGTCTGGCAGTCCTAGAGTTGTGTTCCATAACCAAGGGGCAGTACTAATTTCTCCAGCTATTCTGACAAAGCAACATTTAGCCCCTATGGGTTCATACAACCTACATTTATTTACACTGTGTTAAGAGCAGTCGTGCTGCAAGAATGAGTAGGAGATGGGGACTAGATGGAAACTTTTAAAGCCCAAACCTCAGCCTATGGAAACTGCAGCTCATTTGTATTCATTGAAGCTATGGCACATAATGGGTAGTAGGGCCCCAGAGGCTGTTGCAGAAGAGCAGTTTTTCACTTAACTTTCTCAGTTTCAACGTATAATGTTAACAAATCGTGGTTTAGTTTCTTTGCTTTCTGTGATCAGGGGGAAGACCAAGGTTTCTTCCCCAGTAATAAAACGATTTGCAAGAGAAATGCATCCCATGGAGCTCTCTTGGGTGATACCCTTTTGTTGCTGGTGTCTGCTTTGTTCTGCATGTGTCCATGTGCTGCTGCTTATATCCGTATCTGGTTGACAGTGGGGAGAAGGCACGTGGCATCATTCCTCCCCCTGTCCTGTGTGCAAGGGGAACAGTTGGCCTAGCGGTCGAGTTTCTTTGTCATCTGGGAACTTGTGGGTCCTTCCTTCCTCCCCCACCTCTTCCCAAAAAAGCCGCCTAGCCAGGGGGCAGCGGATTGCAACCTCCTGCCTGCCGGAACAGCAGGAAATGGCTTAGAGCAGAGGAGAGATTCCAGCCCACATCTCCTCAGGACATCTTTCCACAGGGACAGTGTGAGTATGAGTATAAGTCTTGAGCCTTGTGGTGTTCTCATGGCACCTAAAGATTTCACTAGAGACCAGAGCAACTTCTGGTGCTGCTGTTGAGCTGTTCCTGCTGTTGGAGTCAAGTGTAGAAGACAACATGTTCAGAATGGTAAGTATGTAGTTAATTCCATTCTTTAACTTCAAGGTAGCTGGAGGAACCTCTTCCCTAGTTACACAGATTTGAAAACAATGTTTCTAAAAATGCTGCCCAAAAGATGTTCCTGTTATCAGGATTTCTTCCTTCCCAGCACTGTTTGGACAGTACAATACTCCCAGCCAAAAGCTCTTTGAAAAGAAGGTTTAAACTCAGATACATTACATTAAACTGAAGTAAAATATATTGTTTAGCTGAAAACAAAGGTTTATACTTCCCAGATTTGGGGACAGGGACCTGCCTGGGGTTTTTGGTTTTGCTGTTACCACCAGGCTCACTAATGTAAGCATGGAGTAATCTGTCCATATGAGCCAGTGGAGCAGGTGCTAAGAGCTGCTTTGCCTACAAAGCACCTCTGGATTTTATTTTCCATATTCCTTATATTCTTCCCATGTCTCCCAAACTACCTGTCACAGCCTTTTCCTTTCACCTCTCCCGTTGTCATTTGTTCATATTTATCTCTAGTTTCCTCTCGTGTGCTCCCTGCTGCAGGTGTGGTGCAGAAGATCTAAACTGGGGGGTTCCTCTTTTTCCTGTTTCTTCATTCAGAAGTGTCATTTTCCAGCAGAGAATATGTGTCTCTTCCAAGAACAGCTGAAAAATTGCATTGCTCATAACTGTTCATTATCCATTCAAACAGATGGAGTCTACTAGTTACCCCAGTTCAGATTCCCTTTTCCCAAACAGCCATCACTAAATATAACAGCCCTCAGGCTTGAGGAGGAGGAGACGATGAATGGAAGCTGCCTTTGGTGAGGATGGATGGTGCCTGCTACCCCAAGGGAACATGCAGGATGGAGCTGTTCTGTGAAAACTGGTGACTGCTTACATCAACAGTATGTAATCATTCATTTAACACCTATATTAGCAATAATATTATTGATTAATCATACTGGTGGCAGGAATTGCTCTGTCATGCTGCTTGCACTGCTCATTTAATCACAGAACACTTGAATATTCAAGCACTAACTCAATGAGATTAGAGTAGACCTGATTAAATACTATGCTGCTGAGCCACACCAAGTTCATCTGGGCACAGGCCATTTAATATCAGTAGCAAAGTTCTGTCATTTATCACTTGTATTTCTGCTTTTCTAAGGGGAAAAGAAAAATCATTAGGATTTTCAGTTTTGATGAGCTTTAAAGCCATAGATAATGTTACTCCTCCTGTGTCAGGTTAATTTTCCACTTGTCATGAGCGATGAGCTTATTGTAGCTACATACAGTAATTTATAGCTACAGTAGTAATGTAGAAAGAGATGGGGTGCCATGAAGGGGTTAAGAAACTTTAAGTTTCATACCATAGTATTGGCAAAGTGCAGAAGACTGTTCTCCCAGGGTTTGGGATAGAAGAGCTATGATGGGTGCTGTGAATCCATAATGCCTCCTTCTCAAGTGCTGCTACTATTGACTTAGCTAAAAAGCATTTAACACCCACTTTGCCTTTTCTGGTCATAAATCTTTTCAGCGTGGATATGAAACTTACCTCACTGTGTTTTGTTTTCAACGTGCTGCTTTTCCATCCTTGAGGTTTCCATAGCAACCTGGGCCATTTGTTTAAACTGGAGCTCACTGTCCTGTCCTCCCCGCACAGAACTTTTAGAATTCATAGAATCATAGAATCAGGGAATGGTTTGGGTTGGAAAGGACCTTAAAGCTCATCCTGTCCCA